AATGTGACAGATAAGAGCTGTGTCTCAACTTGTCTTTACGCTTTATGATTGGAGATAGGATAAATAGCAGCGATTGGACGAGTCGCCTGATAGCAAAAGAAGTTTGTGTGGTGGTTTTGAAATTGGGGGATTCAACATAGCGGCTGCTACATTTATTTACAACACTATCAAGTCCAAAGCAATATGAACAAACTTGATATAAAAAGACATGGTGAGATTCAAGAAGTTAGACTGGTAGAGGCTTACTGATAGTTGCTTTACAATCTGTTGAAGCCAATCATTTGTTCGGGTATGTTGTACAAAATCAGCTTCATCCAAGAACCCTGAGTGCTGAGTAGTAAACCATTACTACGCCAAATATGAATAACTACACATCTTCACAAGAACCGTTAGCCTGTGACATAAGATTTTCAACAACATAATTACTCTGTAGCTATGTCAGTTTGACAATAAAGAACCTTGAACTATTAACAGGATATAATTAAGCAATAATCGGGTTGAAATCTATGCATTTTGGAACCACTGAGCACATGGATCCCAATGAGGTAGATTATGCTGCCAAAGAGCTGACTTCATTCATAGATTACAGAACCGGCATTATTTTATTTATTTATTTGGACGCTTTTGAGCAGCAAAACAAGATGTCAATGACTAATAACCTTATACAAATGTTATGGCTGACATGTTAGCAAACATTTTCCCATCAACACATCTAGACTAGAGAACATTAGTATTAAATAGTTGTTTCTGGTCACCTGGCAAGTGTCACATGTAGTCCAATATGTCTTCTGTTTTAGCCTCCTCCTGAAAGATACAAGTGGCTATTTACTGTAGAAGCTAAATGCTCCACTGTGTTCAACAGCAAGTGACCTGGGAAGAGCTGTATAGTTGGATGATGATTATGAGTGGCTTTGTCACAACTAACAACACATGTCACACTATAGTCACCTAATTCATTATTGATATAAGCAAATATTTAAATATTGATAAGGAACAGCAGACAGACGGTTACTGCTTTAAATGCTGAGAACTGAGTAATCCCAGATAGCAGTTTTATATGTATTTAAGTCAAAAATGACATTTCTAACATACCTGTGTAGAGGAACTCTTGAACACACACATAACAGCCTTCATTCCCTCATTACTATTATTGACCTGACGGAGCTATACATCTTCATCAGCTGAGGGTCACCCCACTGCATGGTAATTTAGAAGCGAAACAAAAGCGCTTAGTGAATGTATAAGTGACCTTGCTGACAATGTGATGAATTCACACAGTAATGGATTAAATAAGAAAAAAGCAACCAAAAGAAAAATCTTGAGAACGCTGCCAAACCCCGAGCTGTTACAACTGACCATTTTTTCTTTCTTTCACCTTAGCAAATGGTGTGCTTTTAATATGTCCTCTAATTTTCTCCTCTGCTCTTTTGCTTCCCTTTTCCATTTAAAAAGCGTGATTTACATCCTTTTCCCTAAACTTCTCTCACTGCTGTCGGGAAAGCCCGTTGTAGGTTCAAACTCAGAACGCTTTCTTGTCCTTTAAATTTACATAAAATGGAAATGTGTCTTTGGCTATGGCATACTTCACAGAAAAACATCAGGACAAAACACAAAGTTCAAATAATAAATAAATATGTGATGAAATGTTTAAAAGAGAAAATAATACTTTAAAGAGAAAACGACGAGGGCTAGAAGATTCAGAGTGTGTGGGCGTCGCGGAGAAGTGCTTAAAAGGCACCTGTTATAAATATTCACAGAGAGTGGAATAAAGGATGTCTTGAATGTGAGACTTTGAGTGTGTCACTTTATGGCAGCATTCGGTACTCTGTGAAACTGGATGCTTTGTGTTGGACTGTACATTTGTACTGCAGTTGGATTTCATCATTACATATAATAAGATAATTATATGAGAACATGATTAGCTGAAGATCTATGGTCAACTTAGAACATTTGATCAGCATCCAACCATAATGTTGATTTTCTTGTATTGCTGTTGTAACCTATCAGCTCCTTCCTTCATGTTGATTGGCTTGTACTGAAGGTAGAACTTATTCTATATGCTCTATTACATTGCTTTCATTCTTGACATGCTAATTGTGACGTTTGGGGTCTAAAAAACGCTTACATGTCTAAGTAGTCAAAGGTTCTTATTTTGAAAACAAGTATAAGATCATCAACATACATACATTAATAAGGGCAAGATCATAGCTTTCACAATGCATGTCGATTATGTTTATAGAGAAAATCAGGGGGAATAAAACACATCCCTGAGGAACACCTGTAGGGACAAGCTAGTCAGAGAAAGACCAGGTTATGCTTGACCATGCGCACACTAACAGAAAATCTTTCCTCAAAAGCATTACTTTGTTTCCATTGGTTGTTCACAATAATGACGGAAGAAGTCGTGTGAAAAAAGGATCGAAAACCATTTAGGGGTTCAACTTCAGGACAAACTCATTCTTAGCATTTTTGTATAGCAAGAAATAAACTGGCTTAAATGGTTTAACAGCATTGAATCTACATGTATTGCAAAAACTCGAGATCTATCAGTTGTGTACTTGTGGAGGAATGTGGTTGTGTATGTAGTCCAGGTAATCTAATGAAATATTACAACACTTGATCATTTTCCCATTTTCCTTCGCTTTTTATAATTGCATTGTTTCCCATGTGCAACTTTGTCCCCGAAGTGAAAACATTCGAGTCCCACGTTTTAGATTGTTTTTGTGGAGCTAGCCTTGAGGCAAACCGCAGTAGCGGCAGGTAATTTAACATCAAGTAGCATGTCAGCAAAAAGCACTCACAATAATCATGCATTACATTGGTGTCAATTTCAAGCTCACTCTTAACTGTGCTGACACAACGTTCATGGTTCTTTCATTATTTAGCCATGTAGTGCTTGAGAAGCTATACATATTTCATGAGTTGATTGATATATAAATATTGTTTATGGGGAACAGGTATTAGCATTAGGTATGGTGCTCACATATGATCTACATACATGTGAGTTTACGACAGCTACTCAAGGTGCCCTTAGAGCAAATGTATAGATATGGAACCGAGCACAATCCCCACATGCTTTGTAAGAGAGCCAGCATGCCTTGAGCTACATGGTAAAGATAGTATGATGTATCTATGCCCTATAACTAATTTGTTTTACTGCTATCCATTAAAGAATTATATTTTTCATCCATAAATGCACATGAACGTCTGTCTTCATGTATCTGGCCCTTATTCTGTAATGGTCAAAAGTGTTATCTAGTTTTTTATCTAGTTTTTTTAATGTCTTTTTGATTTACATAGTGAGTGTACGCTGAATAGAACTTCAATACACCACATACATAATAATGACCCTTAAATTGACTTGTTTTGTACCCAGCAGCCATTATATTTCACAAACTCTGTTGGGCCCAAACATATTTATTTAAAGAAAACGTTTTTTTTACAATGAAATCTCTTGCACCATTTTCCAAGCTGTAATTATGAGGTGTAGCAATGTGTGTAAGTGATATTAAAGTTTGAATGTATATGAACGATCCTTTAACCTCTTCCTATTAATGCTGAGTGATGATTTATTGAGCCTAACAGCCTCTAGCAGAAACAGCATATATTATGTCTGATTTGTTTTTCGGTAAATGCCTGCTGTTGCTATAGATACACTTTCCTTTATTTACTGTATTTCTATAAAGATAGTGACAATGGAGCAGTCACTTACAATTATGTTATCCTGACCCACCCCACATAGTCAGATGAGCTCAAGTGTTGTTATTTGATATCACCTGTGTTCTTTCAAAGTAGTTACATTATAGTGATTTTAAAAGCACCACTGTTGTAACTGAAAGTGGATACTGTATATAAGCTACTGTATTTTTTTTAATGAAGGAAATAGTGATGTGTATTTATTTTTCTGTCCATCTGGTCATGTTTGCATTGCAGTAATACCCTTTGTAATGGCTTTTTGTATGTAACTTTGCTGCTATATCACTCCTAACTTAATAGTGATGTTTATTTGAGCAAAGTAAACAGATTTACACAAAGAACACAACAAATCATTTAACCAGCGTTCTGAGAAAGTGGCAGTGAGAGGTGTTGTCATTGTCCTTGCACTGTAAGAGCTCCTGCTGCTCGGTTAGAATGCTTTCAGTGGCACTTTGCTTCAAGGATCCACGAGAAAAGAGCACATCTCAGTGCATGAACTCCTTACTGTTAGAAGAAATAAAGGAAATGTGGGTACTGTATAAAAATGCTCAAAACCTAAAAGAGATTATTCAATATTAGAATCCAAAATAAATGCGTTGAATTGAAATATTGCATTGCACCTGCAAAAAGAAAAATCCTGAAGCCTTCAGTACAAATGAGCTGCAGCCCGGGGCTTTTCTGAAAAATGTAGACAACCAAAATACAGCAGAGCAGACTCAGACAAAATACAAATTGGGACATGTCATGACAACGTCTCGGCGAGTGTATTAAATGTCACACATTTGAATAGCTGTATATGCCTCTTGCGGTGAAGCTACCAAATATTGTATCCTGTGTAAAATGTCGCAGAGTGCAAGAAAGGCTGTAAAGCAAATATCATTTGTGGTGTTTGATTTGATTTACCTGACTGATCACAGCTCTCTCCATCTGTCTGATTCCTCCATCTTCCCCTCATCGCTCCCTGTCATCCCCTGCTCCCATATCTCTCAATTGTCTCCTTACTTCATTGCTCTTCATCCACCTGCATTTCTCATCTCTCCTCCAATCCCCTCCTCAACATCCTCCATCTTTTTTCACTCCATTTAAATGTATTTCTACATTTTTCTCAAATCTCCCCTTCTTCATCAATTTCCATCCGGTTAAATCTATGCCCATCTCTGTCTTTCTCCATCTGTCATCCCACAACCCACTCCCTCTATTTAAATCGTTACATCTCTGCATCCGACTCTCTTCATCTGTTTATTCCTGCAATTCTTTCTCACCTTTCTAATCCTTCTTTCCCTCCTTTCCCTGTTTCTCTGCAGCTGGTATTGTTCGGAAAAAGCAGTGGTGTGAGATGGTGCCATGTTTGGAGGACGAAGGCTGTGACCTGTTAGTCAATAAATCTGGCTGGACTTGTACACAGCCCGGAGGCCGAGTCAAAACCACCACGGTGAGTTCAGGTTCCCAATTCCCCCCTCAGGGTTACACAAACAAGTGGGTGTTAGCAAAATGTGTGGACCTACTGCCTCAGTGGCACCGAGAACAACATGGCAGCTGCAGACTGAAGTGTTTGCAAAATAAAATCCATTATGCTGTAAATAACATTTGAAAAACTTAGGACACATTTTTATTAATGATTGAACAGGCTGTACAACCATCATGGCCCCTGGTGGCCCCCCACACATATAACAACGACTATGTTGCACCCCTGTTGCAATACTACTTATGTGCCATATATGCTCTATATATACCGTAAATAGCTGTACAATATATACTTCCACCTTTAATACTTTCACTTGGCTGCTACGTCAAAACTGTTACTGGTACTGGATGTGTATTTTATAAATTGTGGAATATCTACTTTTATTTTTTATATTTTATGCATGCTTCTTAATTAATATTACGCTATCTCTGTCTCTTTACTTGCGGTAACAATGTACATTTGCCCTCTGTGGGACGAATGCAGGTATTCTGATTCTGAAAACATTACTTTTGAAACAATATACATGATAATAGAAATACTTCAAATAAAAAAACTGAATCTGCCTGTTACAACAGGCACCGTTACTTAAATAAATTCACCTCTGCTGCTACAGCCTACTTTTTCAGGTATGACCAATACCTTAAGATGGCTACTTTGTGGCTAACAGGCTAGCGCTTGACTATTTGCACATATGAGCAAACACAGAGCAACATTAGCATTCATTTGGATGCCATTTTCACTCCGTGTTTAGCTCTGTTTTGGTCTCCACCTAAACCCAGGGAACATTGTGGCTCTTTAGCTGCCAAATGTTTTTCTATGATCACCAGCTCGATGCCAACTTTTATTGTCTGCCGTTTGGTGCTGGGCAAGTCAAATATTTTGGTTTATTTGAACTTTTTCACGGAGAAGATGGTCAGCTTTAAACCAAAACAATGGTTTTGACGATAAAATACTCTATTGAATTGAAGGGAACTACAGAATACCGTTTTGACATTACAGATAGTCGGATAATAAATGGTTAATGTAAAAGTATTGCAGCTTTGAACGTCATACTCATGGGATTCTTGAGTGATTTAAGAACATTCAGAGTGTTCATTAAATTTGATTGCAGATTACGAGCCCTATCTTCAACTGTCAGCCACAAGTAGGGCTTATTGATAACAGCAAGAAAACCAGTTGAGCACTCCCTTCACAATGCCTTGAGAACGTTTCCCTCCCCCTACTCCTCATCTTCAGCTCGTCTCCACCAACTGTATTCGGTCTGTTTACTTCCTCGTCACCAGCAATTAGCTTGAATTAGGAACCTTCTTAATGTTAATGATGGCAGCAGATGGGGAGCTGCCACTTGTACTCGCTGAGAAGCCTCCCATTCAAATCCTATCTCCAGCTCTCCAAGCATCCTCCTCTCCACTTCACCCCAAATCCAACATGCATGCACACACACACACACACACACACACACACACACACACACACACACACACACACACACACACACACACACACACACACACACACACACACACACACACACACACACACACACACACACACACACACACACACACACACACACACACACACACACACACACACACACACACACACACACACACACACACACACAAATTCCTTCCAGCAGCCTCACATCCTCCCACTGCTTTACACATAAACACTGTTGCTCTGTATATGCGCTCTATACTGTACCAATTAAAGAAGTCTCAGTTGAGTAGCATGTTACTCAACACACACACACACGTACACACACAAACACACGTACACAACAAAGCTGCCCTATCTTTGAATGTCATAGGGTGAACACTAAGGGCCGGTGGGGCATCATTAATGCATCTGTCATGATTTAGTCATCAGCTGACTAACTTGTTTATGCCTTCCTTCTCAAAGACAAACACATACATACACACAAACACGTAGAAGTTACACACACTGAGATAATAAGGTATATCAGTCAGCCTCTGTGCCCCTTAATGTGTTGTGAGTCTCTCAGCTGCATGACACCAAGCTGCATATACCTGTTTGTGGAGACTGAGCTGACAGTCGTGCCATGTTCCACCTACAAAGTCATTTGTTATCTGGGCTGGCAGATAGGCCACACACACACTTATAGGCAACATATAGCTGGATCCATTTATTATATTTGACAGATATAAGAGCTTGTGTGTGTGTCAGACTAATAGATGCGATGCACGCGTATGTTAAAGTGTTCTTACTGATGTTTTTAGCTGCTTGCATATTCAGAGTTATGAATATGTGTCCCTGCTTTCCTGCCAAGGGTGGCCTTGTACGCTTTGGCCTACATGCACATTTCATATCCTGCTTAGGACGTCAGTCAATGTCATCGGCTTACGCTGACAATATGCGAGACGTGACAGGTATTTCATGCTTGCTTCATTGGCTACTTTAAGCCCGGTGACAGCTAGTCAAATGGCTGGACGGCTCTGTGCACTCATCTGTGCCTGTCCGTGTGTGTGTATGTGTTTGTCCGTGTGTGTATGTGTGTGTCTTTGTTTAAGCAGCTTTCACTGTCAAGGACTCTAATAACTTGCAACAAGCAGACTCGGGGTCATTGTTTAAAATTCTTCTGAAAATATTCATTTATGTGATGGATGTACTGGCCTAATGTGACCGCTCTGTTTAATCATGGGCAAATTGAGCAAAAAGCCTAAAAGATTTGACTTGATTTTACTCAACCATGGACATAACTTCGCCTGAAATGCATTAAAGGTTAAGGCTGATTCTCCAAAGGAAAAATTACATAAACCTCTTATCGTCTGACCCAAGAGAGAATGACGGGCAAAAACAAAACAAACAATTTACTTCTCAGAATCCCTCTGGGTAACACATTGGCCTTTCCCCTCAGGCTTTTCAAGGTTAGACCCAAACTGCTGCCCCAATATCGCCGAAGGATGACTGCTGGCTGAGCACGGTCCAGTGAGCATGTCCGACCTGTCCGTCAGGTGTTTGTGCGAAAACATCAACGCAGACAAACAGACATATCCCTCGGGGCATTTGACTAAGCCAAGTCAATCTGACTCAACCCCATAAAGGTCTATTTTGGACAAATGTCAGGAGGCGGTTTGTGTGTATTGGACAAATGTTTGAGAGTGTGTGTTTTCTCTGTCAAACGAGATGGAGACAGTTGTCCAGGATGACACCACTGACCTCTTGTCTACCTCAAGTCAGCAAGACAGCTCGGTTTAAATTGCATGGCAGATTTGACGTGTGCCGTGTGTTTCCCTTCAATCTCTGAGCCGCTGATTGCCTCAGATTAAAAATCATTTCCTTGCATACTTTCTCTTCGCTTGACTCCTTTTCGTCTTTTTCACTTTCACTCGCCTCCCTCCCTGTCTCTCTGTCCCCCTCTCTCTCCCCCTCTCTGTGCATTCATCTTAGTCTGACCCTGTTTGCAGAGTACACGCTGTACCTGTCAATAAAAACACAATATGGATTTTATTTTCTAGGGCCAGCTCCAGACGAAGCATATGAAGATTGATATGTACATTGCTTTCCGTTGACAGTGACGTTTTGAGTGAGGTTTCTTTTATTAGCAGCACAACTGAAAAGGACACATATCAGCAGAGGTGCACTTGTGAAGCCAGAGCACATCATTTATTTCAGTATCAAGAGTCTCGCCAGCACAGTGACAAGTTTCTCCTCCAAAGAATTGACCTAACAGAAAATTGAATCAGATTCTATGACTATAAATGAGCTCCTCAGGTTCCCTTAACTGCATTAATGAAACAATAAAATGCACACGGACACTCAACTGCACGGCCATCAGTAACCACTTAATTTTATTTTCTTGTTTCACCTGAGTACATAAAGGGGACGCCTGCCAAAAAGAATGCTTTATGGCAACCACAAATGGGCATAAAAATGATAAATAATCACTTGCAGAAGTACTGGCCGGAGATATCTGTCAAAACATAACAAATGTTCAAGTGTTCTGGCAATTGTCCGTTCACTAAACCTCAACCCTGAATGACAATTGTCCAATCATAACCTAGCAACTGTAGCTAAGCACGTTCTCTCCATATAACGTAATGGCATCATTGTATAACAAATGCAAAATGATGAATCAATTATGTTTTTTTCTTGGTAATACTTTACAGTTATAGACCAAAAGGGTACTTATGGCCGTTTTTGGAAAATATAAAAAGTATAGCTCATGTCTAATAAGCATTTTGGGACTTGGCCCGAACCTGAGCGAATTCCCTGCCTTGGTGAATTAAGTTTAGTCATTCTTCTGTCTTGCCTTTTTAGTCTTCCCCAATCCAAGTGGATAAGTGACCCAACACATGGCTTATTTTGACATTTTTTTAAAGTGACTGAGTAAATAATGGGTCAAATGGATGAGATTATTTGTTGGCTCAATGTACAATTTGTTTAAAACCGGGTGTGCATACCCTTTCAAACAGTTAAATGACATCTACCTTAAGATTCCTATTCTAACAGAGCTACTAAATAACGTGTAGCTACAAAATAATGTGTCTGTTTTTACTTATAGTATGCAACACTACCATAACAATATTCCCATGGATAAGCATGTTGGTGTAATAGTCCCAGTGTCCTGACGACACAATTTGAAACGTCCCCCAATAAAGCTTAAAAGCAGCTAATCACCAGATAGAGTAACACTTTTAGGCACTAACAAGGGGTTAACTCCCCACTCCAAATATACATTCCTCCCTCAATGACACTAAATGATTCAAATTTACATTTTATCACACAGTTACCACAGTCAAATGCTGCCTCTCCAAAGCACTCTCTTTTTGGAAAGTGATGTATAGTCTGTGCAGTCATCTCCTATACCTCCTTCTCCCTGTGAAAGGCTTACCACCGCCTCTCTCCGGAGAGGAGGGTGCTCTGCATTGTGCCCTCCACCATTTTAGACTGGCAGATGAAAGGACAAAAGGAGCTATCTCTCTCTGCATGTGCCGACGCGGGGTGCTCGGTGAGAAAGAGGCAAGAGTGAGAGCGCCATTAGAGGAGAAAACAAAATCACCTTGGGTTATCTGGCAGCTTTTGTGACAGACTGATTAGACGAACATTTTTAATTTCATTTTTTACAAAACAGAAAAGCAGTGTGAAGGAGAAAAATAGCAATGTGAGTGAAATACAGAGAAGTTGAGCCAGTCAGACGTACAACATTGAAAACATTATTAAAGTCAGTCTGTGCGTGTCAAGCAGTGGCTTTTGTTTTTAAGCCGTTCAGTGCTTAAGACTATTTGAAAAGTATTTGTTCCTTTCAAATTGTAATTCCATGACTGTATAACTGCAGGAAGAATCTGTAACTTTTTTTCATTACGGCCATTTTGTTTCCATAGCATTCAATACACATGCTGTGGGTTGGGAGGGTTACTTTAAAGAGGCCCTATTATGCTTTTTAGAGTTTACCCTTTCCTGTAGTGTTATATAGGTTTGTGTAAATGGTCTGCAAAGGCTAAAATCACAAGCTTCTCTCCCACACACCCAACTGCCTGAAACACCCTATTGGATTCCTTTGTTTACTTCCGTAACATAGTGAAATCAATGTGTAACACTTGCCCTCCTATTGGCTAGCTCTACATCCCATTGTACCCGATAGGCTATGTGGCTGGAATTTTTGTAACAGTTAAACAACAGAGGCAGCTCAGCTAACCAATCAGAGCAGACTGGGCTCTGGTTTCAGACAGAGGGTGAAGAGAAAATACAGGCAGTATGAGAGGCACAAAAAACAAATATGAACCTGAAGATCAACATAATAGGGCCCCTTTTCAAATGTAATCTGTAACAATTACTAGTTCCCTGTAAAAAGAACTGGAAAATCTTAGAGAAAAGAAAGACTAACTTAACTCGTAGAAAAAAGTGACTCAAAATGTAAGAACTGGAACAATCAAAATGGCTGCAGATCCTTAAACGTGTAACTAGGTCTTAATCATACGTTTCATTAGCTCTGTCCTGATTGGGGTATTTAGGCTGCGAGCAGAGTGCTCTGAACAGAAGTGGCAGCTCCTGAGAAAAAGACTGTGATTACTGTAATCAAGACATATCGGGAGAGGAGAAAGGAGTCGGGATAAAGGAAACATGTTGGAGCATGGTGATAATGCTTGATACTATGAGCCTATGAATATATTATACACTGTGGAGAGTGGGTACAACTCATCATACAGACTTGTTATATGTGTGTGGACATAAATGCTGTTTTCCTCCCCACACAAACAGGTCACATGACAAACCCGGCCGTCTGTGTCTCCCAGACTATTTAGGCATTTATACATTTACCAGTCCCCCACTTCCTTTCTGTTCCTTTCTGTCAGTGTCTCTGTGGATATAGTTCATGCTGGGCCTGATGGGATCTCCCTGACCCCCCCACCAAAGCCCCTGCGGTTCTGGGTCGGTACCGGCCTTGGTAATTGATCCCTTTGGGCCCTCTAGGCACATCCAACAGTGGGTTGAACAGAATCACCGCTAAGAAGACAGCTGCTTGGCCACCCCAGACAGGCCGAGAGAGAAAGGGAGAGAGGCGCTGTTGCTGCTCCCCATGAGCTGTGTCTCCTTTCTAGAGGGAAGTCGGCACATGCTGTCTCGTTTCGGAAAATACTAAATCCGCCATTTTTGGAAGCCGGGAAAATATTTTGGAACTATTAGCATGTCTGTTTGCATCCGATTAGCAGCTAGGAGCTTGTGGGATTGATCTGCTAAGTGAGCCTCTGCTAGCCAATGAAAGCCCACCCATGTGTGATACACTGCCCAGTTTCATAATTTCCTTTCCATGTGGCCAAAAAAGGGAAATTGATTTCATGAAATGGGATGATTGCTGGATTGTGCTTGTACTGCTAACAGCGCCCAGTAAGAAGAGCTGCAGGTGTATTTCAACTAGCATATTAGCATGGAGAAAATCACATATCTCCAAATAAAAACTTTGATTTCTGATAATATACTGGTTTTGAAATGGTTTATTTAGCTAATGAAGTTGTGGAATACACTCAGCTATTTTTTGATTTGAAGAATTACAGGCCACTATTTTGTAAACATAAATGTAAGTAATGCAGCAATGCTTTAAGGTTGTACTTGTGTACATCAGTGCTTTCAGCTTAATGTGACAGTTAGCATTCTACCATGCTAACTGCTTCATGATGATTCATAATTATGCTATGCTTAGCAGGAGCAATGTTTATCCTGTCGGCCATGTTAGTATATAGTGTGTTTGAATGTTAATATGAACTCATAAGCCATAAACACAAAGCAGGCGGATGATAATGTCATTCTGCTAGTATTTGACTAATAAACCTTTGAATCTCTGCATACTAAATGTCATGGCAATCAAATCCTATATGTGTAGAGATATTGAAGAAAAAATTGGAGGATTCTTTTGGCATGGCTAAATAACATTGTGGATGCTAAGGGGATGCTTAAAATGATATACTTATACAGGGTTAAAGAATTAGTAGTATTAGAAATTGACATTTTACTTTCAAATGAAAATGTGCCTATTTGTAATTTGCATTAAAGTGAGCTATGCTGTCAAACCGAATCAGACCCTGTTTACACACTTCTATATTCAAATGCACATAGCAGTCTTTTTGGGATACACTAGCACAGAACAGCTCATCAGGTTTTCAAGACACTTTACTTAGATTTATAAAGGTGGTGGTGATGGTGCTGTGACTGTGTGTAAATGTGGAGGAAAAATGATAACCCTTTACCCCTCTTCCTCTCCCACAGGCTCTATGACGCGACAAGAGTCCCCTTCGACACTCCTGCACTATGGAGAGCATTGATGACCCCTTGACAGACAGCCAAAAACCATCTGCCAACACCACCTTACCACCATTACCACCAACATCAACAACATCACAACAACTCCACCCAAACCCTGGTCCCGCAAAGACAGGAAGCAACACAAGCAGCTACAGAGCGCCAAGAGCCCCCTGGAGGAAACAAGGTACAACACAAAACACCTTCCCCTGTTATTATTATTATATCCATCTTAAAATATCAAATTCTATTAAAAAAAACTGTAGAAATGACCAAATGTATCTAAAAAAATATTTGTTATTTATTTAAAAAGTTAAAATAACCATATGTGAGTAATTGTTATCAAAAAATATTTTTATTTTATTTTTTAAAAAACTGTTAAAATTGTGAAATATGCATTTTTCTTTTAATCTAATAATAGGTAATTTTATTTATTTATTTACTTTAAAAATGACCAAATGTTAAAATATATTTATTTCCTAAAAATAAACTGTAAAAATAACCAAATATGAAACATTTCTATTTCAACATGTTTTGTATTTTATTTAAAAACAATAAAATGACCATATGTCTGTGTGGTCACCTTCTGCACTTATACAATTTGTCCAAAAATCAATTGTTCTCATGTATGGGAAACGATGAAGTGGGTAATTGAGTTTTGTCCTTTTTTTATGTATTTTCTACAGAATCTGATTAATTTCATTACACAACAGGAAGCGCAGACACACACACAAACAAGCACGCACATAAATCCAGATACAATTTAAACAACCGTCTGCTTGTTTAATGCCTTTATTTGGTTTACTCATTTTTCCATAAGCTCGACGGGTCCCCAGTGTGTGTTTAAACACAGAAAATCCATGTGTGCAGCGATACCACTAAAACCCATCGGCTTTCCTTTTGCCGTGCTTTATTGGTATGCCTTGTCTTTAAAGTATTGTGTCAGATGGCGTCTGTGTGCTGGAATAAAACAAGGCGCCAGACAGATATTAATGCATGTGATTGGAAAACAGAGAGTAGCCATGTAGTAAATTCAGTGTACAAAGCCATAAAAGAGATGAGGCCAAAGTCATAAAAATGCCTGCTCTCATAGAGTTTGTAAAGAACAGGCTCTTCCTGTCGGTCAATATCGTCAGCATTTATGGCCCGAGCTATGATTCGCTTTCGAGGAAAGAAATCTGATCCAGCTGCTTTTCAGTCCAGACAGCAAGTCTTCAAGAGATTTGACACTATAAATAGACCAGATCCTCTCCCAGTGCATCATATAAAAGATTATTGTCTATTTACTAACAGAGCAGGCTATCTAAGATTGGATTTAAACATCTGATCCCATAATGTACAGTATAAAAGAACGCCATATCGCCTGCTACCATCTGATGTCATGCAGTGCCATGCTATACAGTAGCTTACAATGCATTAGCAGATATCTTCTTTGCGTTAAAGTGTATCGAGGGAATGGGGGGAGAACATATTTTAGTTATGAACCAAATCAGTGACATTTTGTAATTCCTACCCAGTAAATCTGCTCTAATGTTTCCTCTTGAGTATTAAAGTTCTGATCACATTGTAGAAAGCAGATAGTGAACTGTGTTTGCTTTGATGTTCTGAGGAGATGCGTTATGAAAGGGTTGATAATGACATAACACCCCCGATAGCTTTGAACTCTCTCTTAATGTGGAATGGGGCCTAGCGTCTGGAGGCCTGCGCATACATGTTCATGTATTTTCATCTCAGCGTCTGCTTCAGGCATTATCCGACTTTCATGGCGTGTAATGAGAGATTTCCCTTTCCTCATTAACCTGTGGATCCTTCCTAACCTGCGAGTTCACTTATGAATATTCATCTAGCTATTGTGCATCCAAAAGAGAGCCGGGCTCAGTTACACGAGGCTTTCCAATAAACAGCGAGGGCACGAGGACCAGAAACAAGATGCAGAACACGTGAGCACTTTAGAATGACAGATGGGAAGAAAAAGCCTTTTTCCCATTAGCTGATGTTTTCGGCAGTAGTGTGGCGACGCTTTCAGCCAGTGTACAAACTCATCCGATCAATCATTCGTTAATGAATCAGCCGCAACACTCCTGAGATTCTGCATCATTCACATCCATCAGAGTCTCGATAAAGAGTTTGGAGAGGCAACGCAGATCAATTTCCCCCCTGTGCGCGCGCTCACTCACACGTTCACCGTGGGTCACAGCGCCGTGACATTTTGGAGCGAGTCAGCGCGAGTTCACGCGGGGAGGAAATGTCAAGCCGGGGCCATGTGTTCGGTGCTTTGCTTTAACTCCCAGCTGGAGAGCGCCTCCATTCGTATTGTGTATAATTCCCTTTTAGTTCTAACAGATGTGGCTGCATGCACCTTCACTTGAGTGCCCATGCAAAATGCATAAGAAAGGCAGCACAAACGCACGCTTATTTAGACATCAAAGCATCTGAGCTTGGCCCGGGGATAGGAAGTTCGAAGTAACGCCCCTGAAATCAAATGTTTTAATGTTTTTCCTTGTCCTCCATTGAATGCTGCTGGGTACATATCAATATGTATTGAGTGGAGCGGCTGCTAGCTCCATAACAAGAGACGCCTGCACAAATTGGACATTAACACAGATGGATTATGTCCCCTCCTGTTACAAAGACACCTGCAGCAGTTATCAGTCTCACTCCAAAAGTCTTGTTTGGATAACCAGACCCCGCCGTTTTCACTGTTTGCCCACGTGTCCTACAGCCAGGCGGGCTCTGCATCACATTTACCTCAGCGCTGCATTCCCCTGTCGCGAGAATGTAGAATATTCTGCCGCTGTTATGAGGTATAAAATAGAGTAATATGCTCGATTCCTGATAAACCCAAGGTAATAATCATCTAGGGCCTGTGAATTTTATTCATAGAGCCACATTCATCTCATTCTCATCTGACATTCGTTCCTTTTTTTTTTTTTAATAGAACGCTTGCATTTCCCTGAGATGAGATGTGTGTGGGAGATTTATGGGGAATCGCTTGCAACAGTGTGGCTGTCAGGAAAAAAGGGAGAGAACCTTACAGAGAATATAAGAAAATTACCATCGGAAAAACAGCACTCTCTTTTTGAATTCCATTTCCTTGAGATTTCTACAACAATCTTTCTATTCTATGATTCTGTCTGTGGCACTTGGACCATTTGGTGCCACTGTAATCACAGCTTGCCCACTGGAAGGTATTGAGAGTACTGGGATTGAATTTCATTTGTTTGGGCAGCATTTAAAGCCGAGCAGTTACCAAATTCACATTCCTATGGTCTATTTCATTCCTAGCATCAACACAACCGTGACATTATTTATTTGTATCCCCAAGCTTATTGAGATGTTTATTATTACTAGAGCATCACACATTGTCATCTGTGAAACATGCTAGAGCTCCCTCCAACACCTGCCCCTTTCATGGCAATTAGCCCCCGCGTAAAAATCATCAAGAGTTTATTATGAAGAAATAAACTTCAACAGTCTTGAAAAGCACCGGCGCCTCCATCAAGTTGGCTGTGTGACTGGCGGGGGCCAGATGGTGGGGAGGCTTCCAGATCTGTCTTTCTGTTGGGAGATTTATTGTTTCTCAGTGTCTGCTCTGCCAGACTGGCTTTGTTGTTGGGTTATACCCGCTGAAGAATCCTAAATATGTGACCGGCAAAACACTTCAGTTTGACAGAGAGTAAGCTGTTGAATTGTTGTTTTTTCACCATTCTACCAGAATACTGTACTGGTATTAACGCCTTCAATTGGGGAGGAGCAATGGGTGTACACAAGCATTATAGTAACACACAATGTGCAATGATTCCCCCTAAAAGAAGTATTTCTTTCTTTAAAATGTGTTCTTCTTGCTGGGAGTTACAGTACAAAAGAAGATTGACACTATTATAATATCTGCCTGTTATATTGCGTGAAAGCCAAGAGACATTTAAATGAAAATAGAGCTTAATAGATCAAATGTATCTAGAAGGGTGTTGATCATATTTTATGCAGGGATTGTAATGTTATGATCAATTATATATACTTGCTTCTTGTCTTCAATGTATTTCTATGATATTGTTGCGAATGGAGCTGCTATGATGCAAGAAACAGTTTAATCTCGACCTGACAATAACGCTTGGTCATCATTTGCTGCTGGTTAGCTTAGCTTAGCATAAAGACTGGAAGCAGGCGGAAATAACAATAGGCTGCCGGTTTTTGTAAGGAATAGACAAACAAAATATAGCCTGTTAGCTTCTCCATCTCCATGTTTTATGCTAAGCTAAGCTATCAGTAAGCAGGTTCAAGCTTTATATTCAGCGTACAGACGTAATGGTGGTATCAATCTTGTCTTATAACACTTGTCTCTATAAATATCAAACTATTCTTTAAAGGTGATATGACAAAGAGGTGAGGCACTTATACTGCTAAGACACACTTTTATTTCCAAAAAACAAATGAATATTTCAACATGTTGGGAAATATTCTTGCCAGAAATTAGTTGCAAAGATGAATAACACTTTTTCGCATGAATAATAAATGTAAGGCTACAGCCAGCAGCTAGTTAGTTTAGCTTAGCAAAAATAAGCCTAGAAAACTGGGGAAAGCAGCTAGCACTAAACCCCTCAAGTTTACTCATAAAATGCTATATTTTGTGCAGATTTTTTTAGCACAAGCTATAAGGTCAGCTGTCAGTACTGTACGCACTGGTGCACAGGTTTTATAACTTAGATTTCAACTGTTTAACAAAAGATGAACGTACCTGCTGCATTCAAGTTTAAAAGCACATTATTGCCATTCATATTTTAAAACACACAGTGGTCAATATACAACTTTTGCAACTTATATTCTGCACTATTTCTATTATATTCTATTTTATTTTATTTACTTGCACTGTTTTATTGTGTTGCACTGTTGGAGGAGCCTGTGACCTAAGATTTTCATTGTCATTAAAAGCCTTGAATCTTGAAGCAGTAGAAATAATATATTGCATTAATAGTGATTTACCTTCTGTCAGGAGCTGCAAAGACTGTGACTGTCCGTGTGCTAAAACACTCCCCTGATGCTCTGTTCTCATTGATTCACAGGTCTCATAACACAGCCAGATTTGGGCAAACCCGGCAGTGACTGTTTGAGGGAGCGCGCTCGCCCCCGGACTCTGGACAAACGACTCGCTGTAAACCACTTCCCCCCACCCCCGGGCTCGTCACTGCTCTCTCCTGCTCTCTGTCGTTGGGTCAAAGCGTCAACCTCCTCTCCACTCTACCTGCCTGCTCTGTGAAATAAGCAGCGCCTGCTCGTGCCACGGAGCATCGGACACCTTCAAAGATCCCACGAATGGTTTTTTTGCCTCATTGGAAGGAATGTGTTTGGAAGTGCTTGAACAAGGGATTTCTCACATATCTCTCCATAGCCTCTAGAGCAGGAGTTCCAGAGCGAAGACATACCGGACCCTGTTGCTTCTCGGACCACCTCGCGAGGCCGTTACAAAAAAAACTGAGCGCTCTCTGCTGTGAATAGGCCTTCTGCTGGAGTAAACCTCCCATATTTTTATAGACCAAAGAACAAAAGAACAATTGTGATCATTATGACAAATACACATGGAGACTTTGTGAACTTGCTGTTTGTGTCGCCATGGCGTCCGGTGGCACAATCACGGGAGTACTTTTAAAACTTTCCAGACGTTTTTTTTCTCAGACTAAGCCCACCACTGTATTTTGGAACTGGAGATATAGGTACTACATACGTATAACTGTGTATAAAAAAAAAAAAAAAAATCTGATTTGCATTTTTCAGTAGCTACGGTTGGGACACTTTGCAGGAAGCGACGTCGAGTTGGATCAGGAGCGCAAATCATATCAAAGAGTTGATGACATCTACAGAGAGTATAAATGCTATGGAGTCTGAAAAGAAGGAGTGAAGAAATGTCATTAAATGTATTTTGAAAGGCTCTAAAAAGTTATATATTTAACAGTTTTATATGTTGTACCTTTGTAGAGAAGCTTATCGGACTTAAAATGTGGTCACAATGGCAGTTTAGTAGGATGTGAACAAATGCTGTTGTTCTCATGACTGCTGGCTCTTAGTCCCAGGTTTTCTGTTCACACCTCAGTAGCTGCTTTCTTTTCATGGTCATCTACAAATCACTGTCTATCAGAACCATTAATGAAAAAAAAAGGAAAGTGACACCATTTATCGAGGACTGATCTGCAGCCAACTGAACATTGTAAATCTATGGTAGTGGAAGCCATTGAAATCTGCTAATTTGCTATGATATTGTATTGTACACGGTGTGGAATACTGACTCATTTCCTCTCTATGGGTTTTGATCTCTTAATTTATTTTTGTGCTTGTGTTTGTTCTCGCACAAATCTGGCCTCTCTGCGACGGAGATGAATACAAACGGGAGAGTGAGAGACAGCAGAGGAAGCATTGCAGAAGTATTAGAGTCATTTACATACATTTTTTTATCATGGAATATTTTAAGAATAAATTAAATACATGAAAAAGAAACGTCCCCTGCAAGTTTAGATGGTCATGGTCATCAAGGGAACATTCACATGATCCTACTCTGAATGTGTTCGGTCACAAAGAAAGTGACTAAAAGTGGGAAAGATTTTTCAGGTGATCAGGTGGGTGTATGGCCAGATGATATCGGACATGAAATCCTGCTCAGAGGAAAATATATAAAGGTGGGAAAGACACCGAGCCCTGGGTAATTATATGTTTTTTAGCAGGTAAAATAATAAGATAATGTAAAGGGAAATCAGAACATGACTGGTGTTATTAATAATACATTTCCCATTAACGGACAATGGAGACAGCATGTTGCTGAAAAAGTAATGCATACATAATTCTGTTTATCCTTATCCTTCTAAAACTAAAAATACAAAACTATTTGATAGCCTTTGTAACACCATCTTAAACATTTCAAGTGGGTTTTTTCTAGTTTGTATCCTCCTCGAAGTAAGCCACGTAAAAGTCTGAATCTGTTTCTGGCCAATCAGTCAACACTGTGGTAGAAATGGCTCAGTTAGCTTTTGTGAATTATGTTTTTTCAACAGGTATCAGAAAACCTGCTTTACCAAACAGCAGAGGAGAACTTCAGAAGGATGAACGGCCAATCATGTTGTGGTTCACGGATGATTCAACCAATCCCAGCTCAGACGACACATGGACAAAATGTATAAACATCAACATTTCATATTTACAGTAAGGATGAAATTAAGGTTTGAACAAGATTTCTGTACAAGGTACCAAGAAAATATGTCATCTAAGGTAAGTCAATGCCACAAAAACGTCTCAATGAGCTTTACCGGTCAGCAGTGATTATAAAACAATATGAACCTAAAAGCTCTGGCAAATCAAAGACACATTTTTGGTGAAACTGGAAATATAACTGAGAAATGCTGATTTAAAAACGAGATAAAGGTGTTACATTTTATATTGCATGTAAATAGAAATATGCTGCATTTGTACAGCCTCATTTTAACCTTACTGGATGAAGTGCCTCTAATTCAACCATTCACACACCAATGGTGGCGGAGATGAGGTACAATTGGGGTTTGTGTGTTGCTCAATGACGCTGATATTCAAACAGGAGGAGGCGGGAATCAAACCACCAACAGTGTGATAAGAGGATGACCCCTCCATCCCCCCAGCCACAGCAGAGTTCACGCAATAACAGGTCATCATATTGAAAGAAGTTGAAAATATATAACGTGCAACTAGTAGCTATACATTTTTTATTTACAATGATACATGCTGTCATATGGCTTTTCAATACAGCTCAGTAAAATATTTGAGCAAATGTCAGAGTAGGTTCATACGAAAAAAAGGAACATTTGTGTCAAAAAAATAACATGGTAAGATTCCATTTGTCTAAAACGTGAAAAAAGTCTCAGAATAGATGTTCAAGAATCTGAAGACATTTACAGTATAGTCTGTCTAAGAAATGTGAAAACAACTCTTATCTAAATCCTAGTTGAACCTGTATGCAGCTACAGTAACTGTCACTCTGAGAGTTAACAAGGATCTTGCTGTCCTTGAACATAACTCTGCAAATAGAAAAATATCTGGACCTGGAATTGAGACTTAAAGTACATGTACCGAGGGGCTTTCTTCTCTTAGTAAGAAACTGACTGTGGGGTGAAGAAACGGGGGAGAAGATTTCAATTGCATCGGATTGAATTTGTCTGGTTTTCCTTAAGGTGTTGTACCTTCAGCCTCTACATGTGTTATATTTGATTAGTACATTTAGGACAGGATAATGCGGGGTTTCCTAAAGTCAAGACTATAAGCAGGAGCAATAAGGAGACCTGTAGAGTTTAAATTAGGGAGTCATATCTACTCTAATACAATGCAGTTAGTATATTATATTATATATAGTATATTTCAGGTGTTTTTTTGTCCTTTTTTTAAGCTTCAAAGCCACATTTGTTTCTCTTTTCTGGGGGAAATATGTGTTTGCACTCCAGCAGGTCTCTGTTTATTGGTCGGCCCGTGTGTCCTGCAGAGACTACCCAGTAAACCTGAGAGAAGAAGATTCTGCCTCCGTTTACAGCACTGATAAATCTCCCAAATACCAATACTGCATCCCACTGCACAACATATTATTATTTGCTTTGATGGATAGCATTTATCTGCTAATTCAAATTTCATACTGTGAGTCTTTGTTTACAATATAAATCCAATTAAGTGCAGCCATCACATCGCAAGGCGGATCGATACGCAATATGGCAAGCACAGCTGCTTACCTCACGAGGATGCCTTCCCCTGCCAATATTTCTCAAGCTATAAAATGGTTCGGGTTCTCTCAGCGCGGCCAATAATCTGTCAAGGTTAGGGCAATGAGAGACACAACATTACCTCAGAGGGTGACAGCGGCTACATAAGAACTAATGCCGAGTCATGCGGTTGTAAAACAGGTTCCTCCATCATTTCTATTATTTTAATGGCAGATAATAGGTCAACTAGTGTTTGAAGATAGCTTTTATTGTTGTTTTTACACAGTGAATGCTAATTAACAGCAACATCTAATGCTTTAAAGCTGCTATAATCAATATTTCTTTATGACCAAATAGCTGTGAGTGATGTGGAAGGGGTCACTCGCAGAAGCAATCAGAGGATAATTATCACAGTCTGCAGTTCTTCTAATCTCTAGTGAGGGTTCCAGCCTTTAGAGTTTATTTGTTATTGTTCAATTTAGCTTGTTCTCACCATTCTCATAAAACATTGAGAGTTTTTTAAACCCTTAATTAAAGCTTTGATAGATCCACTGTAGGCTACCTGCACAACGTCAAAAAGCACACAGAAAATATAAGATGCCTTTTTAATGCACATGCAAATATTAAATCTAAATGTATATAGTGTTTAAACAGTTGTACAGTTTTTAAGAGATTCAAACCTTTTTGTTCAAACTAAAGACCAATTAGAATCCACAGTGTGCAAACTGTTAATAACTTGACCAAGAAGAGTGTTCGAATAACAACATACCTTAAAGTTAAAACAATTTGTCCTAAGCAAGAACATCACAAATGCTGCGTATTATCATCTTTCACCCAACTTGTTATAATCAAACATGGATATTTCTACACTTCACTTGGTAGTTTACTAACAGGAACACATGAAGCAGTCTGACACACTGAGATCAGAAGCTAATGAGTGTAGATCTCCAGCAGCGCAGTCCTCACCCTGTGCCCCATTGAGTGCCTCGCTGCAGTGTGTGCGCGTGTGTGTGTGTATGATAGTGTGTGTGTCTCAGGTTAAGCTCCAGAGCTCCGGGCCTCTGCCTTTCCTCCCCCTGATCAACCTCTCTGTGGTGGATGGTTCATTGTCAGCTGGGTGTTCAGGCTCCATTTAACTCTAACTAACTGCCTCTAGTCATTATGGCTGCTCATTAATGCTGCACTGGTACTGCTGAGAGCTTCCTGGTGAGGGGACTGCACCGGGGATACCTGGTAAGATCATGCAGGGGTTCTCTTTTCATCATTGTATCGAACGCAATTAATGGTAGAAACATAATCCTTATAGCGTGTTGTCAACCAATCAGTCACGTTTTATATATGCAGCCCAACATCACAAATTACACATTTCTCTCAGAGGGCTTTACAGCATACGACACACTGTCCTAAATATAAGCTTTATTGAGTTTTTTTTTTACATAAACCTTTATAAAAATGGAGAGCTAATGTTTATTTTCCTCTAAATGGACAGATACAAATCTGTAAAGCCTCGCAATAAAGCCCTATATGTGAGTCATTCTGAGGTGCTTCATTTGTAGTTGCCATGGACATGGACTCAAATTACGCATTATACTTCAAATAGAAATTGTGAGATATTAAACAAAGACAATTCAACTTGTGTTTCAAGTTTTAGAATGTATATCTACCCATTCACCTTATTGAACTGTAGCACATAGGAGTGAACATTGAACGTGTGTAATGGCTGAAAGTTGCCAAATGAGGATGAAAGTAACCTATACAAAAAAGCAAAAGTTTGGAAATAGCAAATTCCTAAAACATACTGCATGTTACGTTCAGGGCCCACCAGAGATGGAGTACTCGAGTCCTGGACTCGGACTCGAGTCGGATTCCAGTGTCGATTTTCGGGACTCGTGACTCGACTCGGACTCGCGCACTGATTGACGCGACTCGGACTTGGACTCGTGAATTCTTGCGCACGATGACTTGGACTCGGACTCGTGAATTCTGGCGTACGCTGACTTGGACTCGGACTCGTGAATTTTTCCCCCCGCAATGACTCGGACTCGACTTGTACATTGACGCTCCGACTTGGACTCGAGCAAGTTTTCTCTGGAGTCTGATGTCCTCTATCCTGGCGTGTGCACCTGCGAGGCGAGTTCACGTACTGGGCCCCGCTATTCCAGTCTAAAGATGTCTAGAGACACACCCCGCATCGTGCTGTATGCTTTCACACATTCTGCTTCCACATTGGAAAAGAGCAGCGCAA